ATGGCTTGAATCAGGTGCATTTCAGTCCTGAGAGGAGGGTGCAATTCCTTAATGAAGAATCCCCTCTCTCGTAGGACCCTGTGGGTAATGCACACAGTTAAGTGCTTAATTACTAATGAAAGAGGGGTCTTGGAAGACAAGCTTGGCCTCCTCCTTCCCAGAGGCTGCAGCCATTGAAATCCCTACAGAGCATTTCTCCTCCACAGGCAAGGGGCCGGCATGAGTGGGAAACAAGTGTAGCCACAACTGCCACCAGACCATGGCCATGGCTCTGTGGTGATGTCAAAGCATAAACAACCTTGTTTTTAAGAGATGCAGGCTTCAGCTTTTAGGAGGTAAATCATCTTGATGTTTACAGCTTACTTTCTAAAAGCTCAGCAACTTTGCTTTCAACTTTTCTCTCCTGATGTTAGAAAATGAGCATAATTAAAAAAAAAGAAGAACAAATAAATCAGTTTGTCTCCCATCTGGTCAATCTAAACAAAACATTTTAGTAGGCTTAAAGAATTGCTGTCTTCGGCATGGCCGTATGACACAGGCGTGTCTTGGTGATATTACAGGTTCTGAGCCAGACCACCACAATTAAGTAGATGCCACCGCCAAGCAGGTCCCACCACGGTTCTGGCCCGAGGATACACACAAGTTATCTTTACTGTTGCCTATTCAGTGCAATGGCATGATAGTATGAAAACATTTGGAATACCATGAGAATGACCACAGTGTGGCACAGACACCCAACGGGAGCCCAGACAGTTGAAAGAAAGGCGCCAACAGACCGTTCATTTCTGAACCCCCCACTATCGGTGGGGCACAAGAAATGCCAGGTGTGCTGGCACTAAGGTCCACCCTGCAGGATTAGGCACCCCCTGGGTACTCGCACACACACAGCATTAGAAGTTTATCAAAGGATAAGCAGTCAAACCAAAAGGGACCCAAAGATTTCTTCTTTTCAACTCCCTAGACCGAAAGCTGGACTCCATTCTCACACTCCCAAATCTCATCTCAGGGCCTGAATACACATACACACACACACACACACACACCACAAACAAAAACGAAAATGAAAAAAAAAAAACACCCAAAAACATAGACACCCCACACACATGCCACACACCATACACACATACCACACACACCACACACTCGACACATGTACCAAATACACACACACACCACACTCCAGACACAGGTACCACAGACACACTCCACATATGTACCGCACACCACACGAGCACACAAACAGCATGAAAATGTAAAGGGAGCCCATTAACAAGAGGGCTCTGAAAATTAAATCAATGAAGCCCTGGGAAACCCAGGATGAGGTGCCGCTGAAAAGTAGGGGGGCTTCAGAAACTTGATGGGGACACGGATCTCAGATGATGGCATTTCTCTACGGTCTTTCGGGAGCACCTTCACAGGAGCCATGAAGCCCTGCTCGGTGGGGGACCCAGGGCAGAGTAAGTGCTCCAAGGCCACCAAGAGTACCCCAGACACAATTATAATAAACTAAAACGAAGCATCTGATTTGCATGGTTAAAACCTTATCATTCCATCTCCCTTTTGATACGTTCTGGGATGGATCTAGTTTTTAGTCTCTTCTGTTTTCTTTCAAATGGGGGTTTCTCTCTGTTGTATTTTGCTATTGTTGGCAGCCTTCTGGATTCTCTGTTACATAGCGTTTTATGTTTTTTAGCCTAGGACACCCAGGATGGGGGAAGCTATAGACACCACACTAGACTGAAGTGCCTCAGGGATATGGCAGGGCAGTTTGGAGGGTAGTGGGGAGCTAATAACAGGCATAGAAGGAAGAAAATATTCTAAAACTGTGATGGTAAATGTAGAACACTTCTCGATAGGACTGAACTACTGAAATGTATGATGTTTGGATGATATCCCAATGGATCTTTTTTATTTTTTTAATGGGGAAAAAAACCAGAGTTGCAGTACCATACAGAAAGACTTTCATAGGAAGGTTCAGGGCTGCTGGTCCATGAACGAGCCTCCCATCTACACAGAGAACCAAGTTGATTCAAGCAGGGTGGGGGAGCTATTCAGAGAGGAGACAAGACATTCCTGGACCGTAGCTCAGAGAACACGGAGAAGATTCTGTTAGGCTTCCTGTGCGGAGCTGTCACGAGATAACCGTGCTGGTGCAAATGGGTGGTGTTCAGGGCCACACGGCTGCTCGTGAGATGGAGAACTAGCATTCAGGAAGCCCTTGGGGCTGCTGGGCTGACACCTGGTGAGAATGTTCTCCACACACGAGCCAAAGCCAACTAGAAAAGTCCTATCAAACAGAGGAGCCAAAAAGATGCCTCTACCCAACGTCCGTGTCTGCAGCGTCACAATAAGCAGCCATGCGTTTCTGGTTGCATCCGACCGATTAAGTGAAGGGGGGCTGGCAGAAGAGGTGGGAACACACTCTTCCAATTCACCCTCCTTTTTCTCCACAGGAAGGAGCGTCAAAGCCCATGGGGGGTGGCCATGGAGGTAGAGATCCAGCAGGCCGGGCAGGATAGCAGGCCTGGAGTGTGCCATAAGTCCCCATGAACCCCCATGTCCATTCACCTCTATAGATGGAAAGTACTCACGGATGGAGATCACTGTATCTGGAACTGAGATCCCTGAGGCCCTGAGGTTCTATGGAAGCCCTCCAAAACAGGCTGTGCACCAGGCTTCCTTACAACTCAAAACAGTTCAGGGTTGAGTCCCCTTATATACTGCGGCTGTGAGTAATGCCTTTTGCTTAAAAAAAAAAAAAGATTCTAGTACCGGGAACTCCCAGCCATTTGTCAACCAGGGGTAATGTGGCAGCTTGCATATTGCTGTGATGCTGGGAACTATGTCAATGGTATTTCAAATGCCAGGAGAGTCATTGATGGTGAACGGGTTTCAATGGAGCCGCTAGACTAAGACTAGGAAGAAGGGCCAGGCAACCAACTTCTGGAAACAGACCAGTGAAAACGGTTACCCAAGGCATGACTGTTTTCTGTTCACGTGGAGAAACACAGTGAGGAGGAGAGTTGGGGGAGGAGGAGACCGTGGGGCGGGCATGTGGCTAATGGCACCCATTAACAGTGGCCTCCTTTGCTATGTGGCCAGAAGAGCTGGATGGTGCCCAGCTTCCATTAGCTAATATTGTGGACGAAGACTCTTTAGAAGAATCCTGACCAGAAGAGGGGAAACGCAGAACAGAACTTCCAAATTCTCATAAACCCTACATTTGAAAGAGCCGTTGCATGTTGCCTGTTGTGCCACAAAGCCTCTTCTGAGTGTTAAAGAGCAGAGATGTCACTTTGTGGACTAAGATGCACCCGATCCAAGCCAGGGTGTTTTTAATCACCTCATGCACACGTGAACGCAGGGCAGTGTATAAGGAAGACCGAGGAGAAGGGAAGCGTTTGGACTATGACTTTGGCGAAGTATACTGAACACCCTCTAAAAGGGCCTTGTGGCGCAGATGGGCGCAATTCCGCAGCACGTCTTCGCGTTTGATTTTGTGACCACGGCTTCCCGGAGTGCTCACTGTAGATCCACATAAAATGAATTCCTTGACAATTTCAACCTTTTCTTCGCTTCTCTGGATGTTCTCTATCAGGCCACCCATCTTGTCGGTTTGTCGTACTGTGGGGGCTTGCATGTTGCAGTGATGCTGGAAGCTTTGCCAGAGGTCTTTCAGAGACCAGAAGGGTCGCCCTTGATAACGGGGGTCGGCAGATCTTCCAGACAAAGAAAAGCCTAGGAGCAGGAACAGGCTGTCCACTTCTGAGGGATCAGCCATTTGGAAATAATATCCGGCAACTAACAAGAAATGACCCAAGGCAGTCCACGGTGAAGAGGACCCGGAGACACTGCTGTTCTGTTTGACCTTTTCATTTCTATCACCATGTGGCTTCTATGTGTCTCCCTGGATTGCTGCTATCAGAATTAATGAGTTGATTGGCTGGTTAATACTGCTCCCCAATCCTGTACGGTAGAGCCTCTTTTTCCTACTTAAAAGCTGAGAAGATCAGCACTCAGGGAAGACGATTGTCCCCAATCACCTAGGTCGGTGACTGCCAGGGCTCGAACCCAGGGGAGAGTCAGATACTAAAACCATCAGGAAGAACAAAGCCCACATGGAAGAAGCACACCAGCCTGTGCGATCATGAGGTGTCGAAGGGATCAGGTATCAAACATCATCAGAACAAAAAGTCATATCATTATAAATGAGGGTGAGTGCAGAGTGTGGAGACCCAAAGCCCATCTGTAGGCAACTGGACACCCCCTTACAGAAGGGTCTTGGGGAGGAGACAAGCCAGTCAGGGTGCAGGGTAGCAACGATGAAACATACAACTTTCCTCTAGTTCTTAAATGCTTCCTCCCCCCCACTATCATGGTCCCAATTCTACCTTACAAATCTGGCTACACCAGAGGATGTACTTTGGTACAGATAGGAACTGGAAACACAGGGAATCCAGGATGGATGATCCCTTCAGGACCAATGATGAGAGTGGTGATACCTGGAGGGTGGAGGGTGGAGGGAAGGTGGGGTAGAAAGGGGGAACCGATTACAAGCATCTACATATAACCTCCTCCCTGGGGGATGGACAACAGAAAAATGGGTGAAGGGAGATGTCGGACAGTGTAAGATATGACAAAATAATGATTTATAAATTATCAAGGGTTCATGAGGGAGGGGGCAGGATGAAGGGAGGGGCAAAAATGAGGAGCTAATATCAAGGGCTTAAGTAGAAAGAAAACGTTTTAAGAATGATGATAACAACAAATGTACAAATGTTTGACACAATGGATGGATGTATGGATTGTGATAAAAATTGTACGAGCCCCCAATAAAATGATTAAAAAAACAAAACCATCAGGCTCAATTCTGTTCTTATAGATAGAAAGTCATCGTGATAAAAATATAAATTAAAAGGTTACCTCATTATGATAGCAATACATTCTCTATGGAACCAGATCAACTTCCTCACATTGATTCTCTGGACGAAAACACTCACCCTGGCGTGCAGAAATGGATCGCCACGAGCTCTGCCCAGCAAGCATATCTGTTGGGCACGGGAAAGCCCAGGACACTGACCAGGCCTCCAGGACAATAATGGTTGTTGAGGACCTTCAAAGCAAACAACACGCCTGAAAGAGAAGCAAGGACATACACGTGTCAGTAACCATCCCCAGGTGGAGAGAAACTGAGGCCTCTATATTTGCTGAGCAAACCAATGCAACCGCTAAGAGCACATTTGACGACCTCAACATTTTTATATCGAAACATTTCCTCTTTCCTCCAACATGCAGTCCCCCGGTGTTCAGTTAAAGAGAAACTACGTTCAAGGTACTTTGTGAGGTTTCTTAGCATAGACGTTCACGGTGACCTACAGTGTACTACTGAATATACAACACCCAATGTGCAGATAAAACCGCACCGTGCTCGCCGCTAAGGTCACTGCTGCAGAAACCCACGGCATCTCCAACAGCAACGGCACGAGGACGCATCTTGGCAGGTGGCAGGGAGACCAGTGGGGGAAGCAGAAGGGAAGGATCCTACATTTCCTTCTGCTTGAGAACTATTCCTTCCGCCTCCTCATATTCAAATGTTTACAACACCCGATTTCAATCCTGATGGCAATTTCAGTCTTGTGGAATCTATGCTAAAACAAACCAAAAAAACCCAAGCAAAACAAAACACTGTTGGTGTTGTTAGGGGCTCCTGCGTACAGCAGAAGCACCGCCCAGCCCTGCGCCATCGCTGGGTACCATGTTCGAGTCCCATGGTTGCAGTTGAGGGGGCAGTGAGAGATCATCACGTACTGGGTTACAGTCAGAGACCTGGGTCTCCAATCGCAGCTCTGCTCCAAGGCTGCAGGCAGTGAGCAAGTTTCCTCACTCTGAGATGGAGAGCTTGCCAGCCTGTGGATCCGCCATTCTGAATGACATCCGACTTAGGTACCGCGTGCCCATCCTGGTTTCTAGAAACATGGCGTGTGTGCCACTGGGATGGGGGGAATTCGTTTTCATGGCCTTGAGAGGTAGCCTTCCTTCTCTTTTTCCAGAATGTCCACTCACAGTACACCTGGCCCCACCATGAAGGATTTTCTCTCCCCACAGAGACACCGTCAAGTAGGCCCCAGCCAGGATTGTCCAAGAGGAAGACACAGCCTGGGGGAGAAGAGCAGGACAGGTCTCCACCACCTCGTCCCCGCCAAGAACCCGAGTGTGCATGGAATGACAGCAGGTGCCCCCTCCTAGGCCATTCCCAGGTGTGCTGCCTCACAAGTTCACCTGCCTTACCTGAGAAGCCCACGGCACAGTTCCTTTGAAAGTTGGGTTCATCCATAAGCACTGCGAGAGAAAATTCCAGAAGCAGGTACAACACCCCCGTGAGCAGAGAGAATGTAATGATGACGTAGGCAAACCACCTACTGCCCAGCCTCCTCTCCAGTTTGGCTCCTTTCCACAGCATGGACGCCATGTTGAAGTACAGGTGCCAGTCGTCGGCGTGGTGAATGGGGGACAGCAGTAAGCGTTGCCAGTCTCCCTGCCAGTAACACTGGTCCACGCTGAGGCAGGAGCTATGCAGGGACTTCAGGGGGTTCAGGAAGAGCCAGATGTTCAGGGCCAATGTTGCCAGGGTGACAGGGGGGATGTTGTTGATCCCAACATGGAAGACTTGAGAAAGAAGCAGAATAAGACCGATGTTGGCTCCGCGCGCTCTCCGCTGCATGGCTCAACCTCAGGACAGGTGCCCAGTGATGGAACCAAGTGGATACAGCGATGCCGAGAAAAATACAGACAGCTGAGCCTAAAACATACAAGAAGATGTAAATGAAACTCCAGGAAGTAAGGATTAGTACATTAATAAGACATACTGTGGAGTAGGTGTTGGGTTGCTCACTGCAAGGTTGACTGTTCAAGCCCACCGGCCGCTCCATGGGAGAAAGATGAGGCTGTCTGCTCCTATAAAGATTGACAGTCTCAGAATCCCTATATAGGGTCACTGTCTGTGGGTTTTGGCTTTTAGTTGCTTCTCTTTAAGGGGTGCCTACATTATGTAGATCCTACCTCCCATTCAAACAGAAGTAGTTCTGGTAGCATAGTGGGTTTCAGGGTGTCCTGCTACTCTCAGGTCAGTAGTTCAAAATCACCAGCTGCTCCTCAGGAGATAGACGTAAGTTTTCTACTCCCATCAAGAGCTCTAGTCTGGAAACCAGGACAGGTAGTTCCACCTCGTCTACTAGGTTGCCATGGGTCACAGTGGACTCGGCTGAGTGAGTTTGAGTTTCAGCCAAACAGAAACATCTATTTTCATTATCTTTCAGAGCACTATCCAGGATGCTAGCTGACACCCTTCTTCCATTTCACATTTGAAATATTTTCTCCTAAACCCCAATGGACCAATAAACAGCCTGCCAAGTTTTCTCTGATGAATATGCCTGGGAAACACAGTATGCCTTCCATATAAAAATATGTCTAACCTAATGAAAACCTCAAAAGAGAGTATGCAAATATGTAATCATGATTTTGTCACAGAATGCTGATAGTAATTCTGTCCTCACCATTTTTTTAATGCATGAGACAGCATTGGCCCCAAAATGTTTAAGTGTCTCCACCAAGCAAATTCAACACCACAAGCACAGACTACGTCCAATGCCAGCGTCCACACCTCCAGAGAATAGCTGCCCAGGTGCTTTGTTCTCATAAAAACTTTAGCTTTTGAATGTGACCTCAGACTCACTGCCATTCTGACTCATAGTGACCCAACAGGACTGAGTAGAACCGCTCCTCTGGGGTCCCGAGACGGAAACTCTTTACAGGAATAGACAGCCTCATCATTCTCCTGCGGCACAGCTGGTAGGTTCGATCCAGTGACCTTGTGGATAGCATTCCAATGTGTAATCTACTAGGCCTCTATTGGACAAATCCTGGGCTGAAACACAGTTCCTGTTTTGAAGGAGCTCACTCTCCATTAAGAGATAAGCCAAAAGCTGGCACACATGATCAAAGCAGGGGCAGAGAGCCCAGAATAATGCACACGCAGCCTGAGGAGGAGCTTATGAGAGGAGGTGCAGCTAGCTAGCAAGCAGAAGAGCCACAGTGGTTCGGGAGCTGCTTCTCCCTCCTGATCCTGGGCTGGCAGAATGTGAAGGAAGGGGCAGCATAGGAGTCATGGGCCTAGGTCTCGAACCCTCACAAGCAACCATGTGGACAAGTCCAAACTAGCCTGCGGGATGATGTAAGGCACCTGCCTCAGTCACTTAGGTGGCCCTGGCCACTTGCTCAGCCAATGTCCCCCAGGCCAAGTTGTTTAGCTGCCTGGCAGCTGAAGGCAGAGGAATGAATGATCCCAGCTGAACCTTGCCTAATTTTCTGGATCACAGAAGAGTGAACAGAACCAATGGTGGCTGGTTTAGTTCACCAAGCCTGGAGGTTTGTTTCACAGCAACTGCTAACTGAGGACACTTGATTTAAAGAGGGACTGGAGTATGCTCATGGCAGGGAGCTGGTGAAGAGACAGTGGGAGACAGACTTGGATGGGAGATGTAAGAGATGAAACAAAGAATCAAGCCTATTGAAGAAGTGACGTCTTTTTGCATCACAACAGGAAAAATATACAAGTGCCAGTAGAGATGTACACAAACAAGCAGATCAGGGGGATGCCAAAGTTCTGATCCAGTGGTTTCTGTTTTCTCCGTAGAATTTACCTGCTTTCCCATCAAAGCACCCACTTACCCCAAAGAGTCTAGTCCGAGCAGCTCACTAGAAAGTACAAGGGCTTGACTCTGAAATAGAGTGAATACTCCCACTTATCTTAAACACTTCATTTCAACTCTCTGGATTCCATACACGAAGTGTATGAATGCCAAAGGGTGTTTGTTTGTTTTTTCCTTATTTTTTCTTAATTGCGAATCAGGAAGGAATTACATTCAGATTGTCCCAGTACAGCCTGAAAATGTATGATCACCAGTGACAGGGTCCCCTTAAGAGTAATTTTGCGGTCATTGTTACAGTCTTCCCCCTAGGCTGATGTTAAGTGCTGTTGAGTTGGTTTTCTTTCTTTTTTTTTTCAATTTCCTAAGAATTTATTTTGATCTGTTCTTCTTCTTTTTTTTTTTATCATTTCATTGGAGGTTCATACAGCTCTTATCACAATCCATACAATCATCCATTTGTTGCCATCATCATTTTCAAAACATTTTCTTTCTACTTAAGCCCTTGGTATCAGCTCCTCCTTTCTTTCCCTTCCCTCCCCCACCTTCCTTCCTTCATGAACCCTTGATAATTTATAAATTATTATTTTTTCATGTCTTACATTGACCGTTGTCTCCCTTCACCCACTTTTCTGTTGTCTGTCCCTCAAGGAATGGGTTATATGAGATCATTGTGATTGGTTCCCCCTTTCTCCCCCCACCTTCCCCTTACCCTCCTGGCATCACTACTCTAATTATTGGTCCTGAGAGGTTTATCCTGGATTCTCTGTGTTTCCAGCTCTTATCTGTACCAGTGTACATGCTCTGTTCTAGCCAGATTTGTAAGGTAGAATTGGGGTCATGATGGTGGTGGGCAGGGGGAGAGCAATAAAGAACTAGAGGAAAGTTATATGTTTCATGGGTGCTATACTGCACCCTGACTGGCTCGGCTCTTCCTTGTGACCCTTCTCTAAGAGGATGTCCAATTAACTTTGGGTCTCCACTCCACCCTCCCCCTCACTCACACTGATATGATTTTTTGTTCTAGGTCTTTGATGCCTGATACCAGATTCCATCGACAACTCATGATCACACAGGCTAGTGTGCTTTCTTCCATGTGGGCTTTGTTACTTCTCAGCTACATGACCACTTGTTTATCTTCAAGCCTTTAAGACCCCAGATGCTATATCTTTTGATAGCCGGGCACCATCAGCTTTCTTCACATTTGCTTATGCATCCATTTTGTCTTCCGTGATCGTGTTGGGAAGGTAAGCATCACAGAATATTAGATTATTAGAACAAACTGTTCTGTATCAAGGGAGTACTTGAGTAGAGGTCCAATGTCCATCTGCTGCCTTAATACTAAGCCTATAAATATATGTACATAGATTTATTTCCCTATTGTTATACATAAATAAATTTACATATGTACATGCTTGTATTTAGACCTCTATAAATGTCCTTTGCCTCCTAGTTGCTTCCTCTATTTTCTTTTACTTTCCTCTTGTCCCACTATCATTTTTAGCCTTCATTTGGGTTTCAGTAACTCCTCTCAGTTACATTGCCCTTGATCAAGCCCCACCAGGCATCCTACGCCCTCACCATCAACTTTAGATCACTTGTTGTTCCCTTGTCCTGGGTTTGTTGGCACACACACACCCCTCCTTTCCCCTGCCTCCCTTGTGTCCCCCTGGAGCCATCGGTCCTGTTGTTTTCTCCTCCAGAAAGATTATCCCACCAAATCTTATCTAGGCAGACATGCAGAGACAATAATAAGCACAAAAATAAGACAAAGCAATACAAAACAATAAAAGAAAACAGAAAATAAGGGGGAAAAGCAAGGACCAAAAAAAAAAGAAAAGCCTGAAAATAGTTCCAGGTCTGTTTGTTGACTTTTAGGAGTGTTTTCCACTCGAGTATAATGGGGAGCCATGCCCTGGCTCCAAAGTCTATTTTTGGTATTCCTCAAGGACTTCACTGCTTTATTTCCCCTACTGCTCTGTTGCACACCCTGGTGTGGTGGGGTCGGATCAGGCACAATTCCCACATTGTGTCTCCAGTGTTGTCCCCCATAGCACTATGAGTCAGTGAGGGACATCGTGTCTCTTGTGGTGGGGCCGACCCTATGTCCTCTCTGTGCATTGGCTGCTCTGAGCAGGAATATCATCCTCGGGGCTTTGTGGACCAGGATGTGTTCTACTCTCTCTCCTTCCTTCCTCGTTTGCTCCTGTGTGCTCTGATCAGACACACACCCCTCCCTGAGCTGTAGCTTCAATGCTGTCCTCTGAAGTCCATTCTTCTTGGTGGGGGTAGGAGGGGCCACATAGTTGGGACTGGGGCTGGTCCCGTAGACCTCTCTATTGGTTTGCTGCTTCATGCCAGTATGTTGCATTCATGTCTTGGCTGTGGTTTTCATAGGATCAGATCATCAGGCCTTTCTGCTCGCTGGGTGTGTTCAAACTGCCAACTTCTCAGCAGCCACACAATGAGCAGCTTCACCACTGGGCTCCTTCACAGAATTATGCATAGTATCTAAACTTCACAGACATCAAAATCTGAACTGTGCACATCGTAATAATACGTTGTGTGGTTAGAGCTGTCTGAGCAAAGACCAACATTTTACTGAGGTGGGAGTACACAGGAGACAGCACTACATCAAGGCTGTGGCAGAGAGAAAAGGAAGGCTTCCTGAAATATTGATAGGAAAATTAGCCATTATTTATTTTTAATGCAAAATTGAAAACAGGTACGCAATAACAAAAAAAAAAAACTACGTGACTACAACAAACAAAAGAAAACAATCCAAAACCTGAAAAACCACTGCATCCCAAGGGGATGAGAAAGGGGGAAAAAAAGACGATTTTCTGTTCTACTTGCAAAGCAGAAAATATTTCTACCTTATAAGTTACAAGGCAGTAGAGATCTCAATTTTCAGATTTAAATGTTCAGTAAGAATTCAGGCTCTTAAATTTCCAGGATAGATAAGTTATAAATTCTGGCATTCTTGTTTTGCATCTGATAGTAACCAAATCAATTTCACAAGAATGAAACTGAAGAGTCTTAATGGCGGGTAAGTGTTTGAGGTTCTACAGACTGAGTCTCCCATATC